GTCTCTCTCTCTCTCTCTCTCTCTCCCTCTCTCTCAACTGCCTCCGTACAGCAATGGTTAAGCTCTTCGCTGTTGTGTGGCGTCAGTATTCTTATTGTGGCTAAGCTACCAAACTCGTAATGGTAAAATTGTGGGTTGCAGAGTTCGAGCCCAAGTTGGTGGTGACCTATAAATGTGACTTTACCCAATTTTTTGCTTCATTCGGCGGTGTCCTGTTGGAGAATTACGTTAAGTTCTGAGGTATCAATTCTTAACAGAATCACAAGGGGCGTTACAATTATACGTTTCTTTTTTTACACACTGGCAACGCAAAAGTAACACTTGAGCGCCATTCCCGATTGGGGAACTTTTGTTTATCGAGTATCTCGACTATCTCCACCAATGGCCTGAAGAGTTCTCCCCCTTCAGGCTGGATCAAATCATTCCGCTGTTCAAATATTCTAAATTGTGCTGATTGAGCCGCACAACACTTTCTTCGATTAAAAACAAATGCACTCAATCAATCAACTTTTTGTACCCTACACGAACTGCACTTCATACTCAAGTCCCACCCAACACACAATGCAATAAGATTAAATCATTGTATTTATTAGATCACTTTACTGTTCATTCACAGGAAATTTTACAAAAACTTCATACTTTTTTATGATAATTATCAAATTCAGGATGGCAGGTGTGGCCTTTACGGCGATCCGCTGCTGTAAGATATTCAACATCCGCATGTCTTGACCAATAAATACCAAACAACGCAGAGTGATGAAAATGTTAATCAGACAACAATAAAAAGAACAAAAATAGATTCCAGTAATCAGCTATGATGTTTGGCAAGTGTAACTATGGTAACCAAGTCAGAACTTGCCAGTACTAGATGATCCCAAAAATGTTCACAGATTGTCTTTACTTATTGTCTTCATTCATAAGCTTCCGTATTTGGAAGCCAAAAACGACAACATTTTAATATGTAATAATTAATTACATGTCCCAAGATTTTTTTAATTACGGCTAAAGTCCCTAACAAAAAATAACAAAAAACACACAAAAATCGTATCCTATACGACGGACCCCTGAAAAACAAAACTTACCCTACGCCACCAATGACCACGAAAAAACACACATAAAAAAGGAAGAAGTACCTGTTTAACAGAAAATTAATTCATGAAAATCAAACAATAATCCGATCTGTACTCCTAAATTCTTTCCAGCGTTCATTTCACGCAGCCTAACTTCACTGCCTAGGAAACGTGTGCCAAAAGATTATTCTGAGCCTCTTATTAAGGTGGAGTCAAAGGAAAATATCAAATACATTGAATTGTGGAGAAGCAACCATGGGTAAGGGAAAACAGAACATAGCAAATTAGGGACATATCAGTAGAAACACGTGTTTTGGGTTGTTGTTGTTTTTTTTTTAAACAAATAAATCAATGTCAATGCTTTTCATGTAGGAAGCAGGCTTCGACTCTGCATGTCAAGATCAACTTGTGCTGAGAGAAATACAACTTCCCATCAGAAACACCGAGGTTCTCGATTAAAAAGTATCTCCACACGGGAATCGAACTCAGGACTTGCGCATTCGACGACAAGGCCCCAAACCACTGCACCGCAGACGCCGGTAAACTGAGACTCATAGACAAGTACATCTTCATCACAGAGTGCTGTATCTGCGACAGACCTCAGCAATCATACTTCTCTATTTATTCCTTTGTTCGGACCTCCTCAAACAAGCTACTTTATTAATTATTCTGATCTATACTAGTAACCTATATGTTTAGGCTTCCTAAGTAAGCTGCTCTGGGTCTACCACTGCTTCGTTTGCCTTCAGTATTGCCAGTGACAGCTAGATGTTCATGGCCTCTAAGTCTATTCAAGAGTGTTGAGATAAATAGTTACCGAACAGTAAACATCACAACGGGTAGACGTAACCTCACAAGCAATAAATGAGGGAAACAATCATGCTAAAGAAAAGTAAAGAAGTAAAAGACACCGATCACTTCAGAACACACATCAACCTCCCACTGACAAATGCAAAAAAAAAGAAAGTCTTTCAAAGAAAAGAAAGAAGTAAAAACAAAAAGAAGGGAAGAGAAGCGGAAAAGGAAAGTTGAAAAATAATATTGCAAAAGACGCAAAAGAGCGGAAAGAAGTCGGGGTGGGGATAGGAAGGAAGGAAGGAAGGAAGGAAGGAAGGAAGGAAGGAAGGAAGGAAGGAAGGGAGGAAGGGAGGAAGGAAGAAGGGAAGGAACAGAGAATTGGTAACATTGGAGAGGAAAGAATGCTGCAATGGGAGGGAACAGAATATATTCAGAATGAGGGAAAACTGAAATTTCTTTGTGTCTTGGGTATAGTCTTGACATCCCTCGTAAAAGGCCAATTGAAGAGGACACTCACATCATGTGTCTTGACTGCAGCGTGCATTCTCTTTGCAAACCGTATGACGTGACTGTGGCATCGTCACTTCCTTTCCTTTCCTTGGGCTACTTCTAAACACACGGAAGTTCTTGTTGGTTGCCACGTATATGATGAAGTTACAAGAGCTGTTGAGCACAGTGACCAGCTCTTTGACTGCACGGCAGATGGCAACCTCAACTGTTTCGGCGACCGTCACGTCAAATATCTCGTCTATTATGTATCGGTAGGTTCCAGTGACGGAGAACACCAGGCAGACGGCAAGGAGAGTCCTGGTGGCCTGAGAGGTTGCCGCGCTTTTCGTTGCTGTGGACGATGACGTCATCATTCTCCTTTGTCTCGCTGCCAAAGCTATTTTGACGCTGATAATGGCAGATCCGCTAATTACGATGGAGAGGGGTACGATTCCCGTCAGGACGTTCAAAAGTGAGAGCAGATTTTCCATAAGTGTTGGTTGTTCTTGTCTCAAATACGAGGGTGCAACAAGACCAAAAGACGTATAGTTTGTTTGGACATAATAAAACCGATACCAATTTGGACCTAGAATGATGAAACTGCCTGAGTAGTAGATAAAGAATATGGCTACAACTGACCAAGTACGAGCCGGGGTCACAACATTCCGAAAGTGAAGGGGAAACAATATAGCAATAAGCCGCTCTACCGTTATAAGGGCAGGCACAGTCATAGAGCAAGACAAACCAACCATATAAAACGCGTTGAAAACGATATATGTATCGAACAAAACACGGCTTTCTGGCTCAGAGAATGGGAAGCTGAAGCCACCAACGTACTTGTAGATAAGCCAAGGGATGTTGTTGACTGCCACCAAAAAGGTTGCGTCTGCTGTACTGAGACACACAAGCAGAATGTTGGACGTTTTCTGAAGGCCGTTTTTGCTGATGATGACGATACCAATTAGGTTCCCGGCCACTCCCAAAATGGAGACAGTAGGGATGACTGCTAACGTCAGAATCTTGACCATTGATTCAACAATTGCTAAGCTGTTGGAACTCTCTAAACCCTCCTGGTATCCGTCATCACTTGCCATGCTATTGCTGTCGCTTGCGTTGATCATTGAAATGTTGTTTTCTTGACACACAGAACTCGTCAACTCTTTCCCATCAACGCCAAAGCATCTCTCGCTGGAACTATTCCAGAAAACGAAGGTAGCATTTGATGATTCTATTTTTTGCATTTTTCCGTTTCACCAAGTGGCTTTCTGAAAGCTCACAAGATTTTACGTCTAATTTCTTCCACTTTTCAGGAAAACAACAACTGTGTGTTAATTATAAAAAATGCACTACTCTTAGTTTACATCTTCCGATTGGCTTTTCCAATCCAGACAAGTAATAATTCTTCTTCAAAGTTCTCCAGTCCTGCAATCAATAGAACACAAGGCTCACAACACGGTGCAAAATTCAGAGAATCTCGTGATCATTTACTTGTAGGTCACTCAATGGATAAAACACAACCTAGTCATGGATGGCTGGTGCCTCTATAAATAAATCATCGATACTGATAGTCAATCATTATCCTTTGTTTTAAATATTCCTTTGAAATATAGTAATAGAGTTTCGTTCCACTGTTACTGTTTTCCTCTTATTTAATATCTGTTGCCGGCCCACATTGGAATCTTTCCAAAGCGAAATGATAACTTGGTTTAAGACGAAAGTATTCTTGGAAAATTGAAATTGCTCCTTACGTCACGTCATTCCTGATTCATTTTCAAAGTCAAGGAAATAACAAAATAACATTACTGTATAGAAAAAAAAGCCATAGAAACTTGCGATTTAATCAAAGAGTGATTATGAGGTATTATGGGAAAAGTACCAAATAAAAGAGACAAAATGCGATGTGCTATGTTCAAATTCAACAGCTCTATAAGACTAACCATGATAATTTTAAAAATAGATGGTAATTATTTAGCGCTCTATCCCATACGAGGGTGCTCTACATAAATGACTAAAAGACTGAGCGTAAAATTTCATTTACGCAAGAAAAGCATTTGGCATTAACAAGGAAACCAGTTCAAGCAAGGAAGAACTTTCTCGACCGTACATTAACTAGATTATAATCACCCACGAGACTACACATTGCGTAATTATAATTGTTGACACACAATTCGTCCATTCCAATAGGATTGTAGCCGAATGGTGCCTACTAGGCATGTGATGGGATAAAAAGAGTTATGTTTTAAACATGCCTCAGGCGGACTGTTCTCCAATTTTGTTTTTCGTTATTTGAATCAAGTAGTTTCTAAGAATGTTCAATAATAACTTTTAACTGCATCTTGCTGACTTTCATCCGACCGCAGTTTATCAAAATGATAAAAAACAAATCGCTGAATTTAACCTTCGCGGGTCTTTGCATGCAGATTGAAAAGTCCATTAAAGAAAGTCCCTGCAAACTAAGGTTCCAACACGTTTTCTTTTATGTAAGCCTATAGTGGGTCAAAACTTGAAAGGGGATTTACAGCGTACACTTTACACATTAAAAAGTGAACTGTTATATTCAATACCACACTTAAGAGACTACACAGTCGTGGAATGAAATCGACAAGCAAACACTTACACTGAAATGCGATGCAAAGTGGTGCGCTGCCTCAAAAGCAGCGTTTAAATATAGTGCCCAAAATAGAAAACTCGTTTACTACCGGATAAATTTTTTTTATTGAAAAGAAATTGGTTTGGGCGCTCATATAAAAATATATGCGTATTGGCACATCAATAAATTATGAGCTAGAATTTGTTTAATGCGGACAAACGACAGTGAAAATCCATAATTTCACCCTTGCTGATTGGGCACAGTCAGCACAACTTTTCTTTACGTGAACTTAAGCAGTGGAATCAATGATTGCCCGTCGTTTTAGAAGAAATCTAGAAAAACATCAGTGAACAATTTTCCTTGTGATACTGATGAGAGTGAGTGAGATATACCCAGATTAACTGGAGACTGCACTAACGTCTCAGCAGGGCTCTCGTTGTCTTGATTGAGGGTACGGTTTTCGCCTCTCATTCAATAAGTCCTGGGTTTGAAGCCTGACAGCGACAGCAAATTTTGCTCTCTAAAATGTTTTCTCTCCTTTTTCTCTAACCATGTTCTGTCGTCTGCTTTCTTTTCCCCCTGCAAATAACAAAAAAAAACCAACCTCTCCACTCACTGAGGACTCGCGTTCTTCTTTCGTCAACACTTGAGGACGCATTATTTTGAAACATAACTTCGATAGTTATAGATAGTTCAAATCTGTTTTCTTTAAATGAAACATCAAAGCACATGACGTATACTATGGATGAATATGCAGTTTCCTGTTTTTGGTTTGTTCATGGTGGCTCAAAAAGTGACACAACATTGCTTTTGATCTGCCACTAATTGGACACATGATGGACCCTCTACGTCCTCAGAAAGTTAAACACTCTGTACAGACAGACTACGCACGTCAGTGAATGGGATATGTGTACATGTATGTGTTTGCTACTCGATGGAATCAGGCGTTCGTAGAGTGGTTTTTGTTGTTGTTGCTGTTGCTGTTGCTGTTTTCTGTAAGTGTTTTACGGTGCTCGTAACTGCATTAGGCCATATGAGGGCCCGGGACACATTAAACATGTTCCGTGTGGTAGGAATAAATTATGAATGTTGCCCGAGTGTCGGTCGAAGCCTACCCTTCGATTTCAGGGCCACCAAGGGATCTTTAACATGCGCAGCTTGCGCACTGGAGCTCCGAGGTTTTTCGCCCTTATCTTGGAAGGCAGTCAGCGAGTTCAACTATCTTGGCAGTATCGTCTTCCCGGAAGACGGACGTCCCAACAGAGAAATTGAGACGAGAATGCAAAAGGCTGACAGCGTCATCTACTAGCTTACCACACTTCTCAAACTTTCTATCATCCCCATTGAGACGAAAGCCAAGCTTATAATTTACTCTATCGTCATCCCAACCTTGACTTACCAACGCCAGACATGTACCTTGACCTAAAATCTTGAACGCAAGAGAACCACTTGCGAGATAAGATGTCTAAGGAGAGCGGTCAACAAAACCAGATGGGGTAGGATCAGAAACAACAGGATCAGAAAAATGATGGGAACAATACCTGTACTCCACTACATTCAAAGGCAAACAATCAAATGGTTTCGGCATCTGACGCAAATGGCACCAGCTTGTCAGTAAAGCGTATTAAAAAATGAATGTCAGAGTACACGGCAAGAGTAAGACCAAGGAAGACCTATATTGAGGGTGTGAAGGATACCCTGAAAGCATACCCAGCGAGGCCTTCCAGCTTGCTTAAGACAAAAGGCTCTTTATCCCTTCGACGCCCTAAAGGTACAAGAGGGGGGATAAAGTAAACGAGAAGGCTAGGTGCTTACCTACCCTGAGATCAGGGGTGTGGCTGCGAACAGTAAGAATGGACCAAGGAGTAGCAGGACAAAGGTAGCAGAAAGAGTCAGGAGCCCAGAGAAGGGGGCAAAGGGGCGTTGAGAAGGGGGCAGAAAGTGGAGACTAAGGCAGACGACGGGACATGATTAGAGAGTAGGAAAGGTTAAAGGAAAAACAATTTTTAGAGGAGAAAAGGTCCCGTCGTTGTCAGGTTTCAAACCCGAGACCTATTGAATAAGAGGCAAAAATCGTACATCTAGACCACGAGAACCCCTCTCTCGTTTGTCTGGGGCCTATAGAGTTGTTTGTGTCATCTTAAAGCTTGATCATTTATCTAGATTTTGATTGTTTTAAAACATCCTTCTATTCTGAATAGAAGAAGAGATATATGAAGGAGGTGGAGATCGCCTAATGTCAAAAGAAAAAATTGTGAGAAAATGGCCGCCGAACTTTGCTGACTTACAAAGGTGTAGTGTCCTTTGAAATCGTAAATGTACATTTTTAAGCCTTTAATCAACGTAATTCTAGTAGAATCCATACATTCTTTATAACGTTTTTAAAATGGGCGTGAAAGTTGTTGAGTCTTGCCACACGATAAGAATAATGCCTGTTCTTGGATTTCATTATTCTGACGAGCGCCTGGTGTCATCATGATACCTCACATTTTTTATGGCCTGTCAATCGTCTCGGCGGACTGAGATGCAAAGAGGGTGTGGATCGTGCAAGGAGTCTCTTCAGCCTTCCAAATGAGGAGATACGTTGGTGTCAGTACACGATAGAATCAGGCGTTTGTCATCAGTTTGGGAAATACCGTCATTGGTGTCTTCTTAAGGTTTATTCATTTCCCTTGCTTTCGATTTTTTAAAAGTCTCATTTATCAAGAATAGATTAAGGTAAGCAAAAAAATCAACACATAAATGAGTTTTTAAATAGATATAAAAAATGTTGAGCCAAAAATTCTGTTCTTCGCGGAAGAAATTGCTGGGTGGTCGGAAACCACATTAATGTAACGAGAGTCTGATTTCTACTCGATGAAACATATTGACATTCTGTCACGACGCGGTAGAATCAGGCGCCCGTCAATTTTGGGGCATATTGAGTCGTTAATATCATCTTACAACTTGGTAATTTGTCTTTTTGAAATGAAGTCGGGATATTGCTATTGAAGGAGGTGGGTGTTGCCTGGTGTAATATTAGCGAGAAATTGGCCGCCAAAGTTTGGGCACTTCCATAGCTTGAGTGCCCTTGGAAACTGAAGATGTACGTTTCTTATGTCTTTATTCAACGTTTTTCAGTTAAAACGCAAAGAAATGAGTTTTAAATCGACGTAAAAGATGTTGAGCCTTAACAAACAAACAAACAAAAAATCTCTATTAAAATTGACAAAGTTTCGGAAAATTGCCGATTGCTTCGACTTCAATATTTTGACAAGAGCCTGATTTCACAACGATAACACACATTGACGTTTATGCACTCCCGTCAGTGAAATCAAACGTGAACATTTTACATTTCACATTGATACATTTTAAATTGTTTGATTTTATTAAATGGGTTTCTGTAACCATGCCAACGCCAGCCTTGGTTGTGAGGCGTAAAAGATCCCGTCAGAAATGGAGATACTTAATAAAAATTTAATGCTCCTCTGCCACGGCATAAACTCGAGTCCATTTCGAATTATGAGAAGAGCGTACAGTTAACTGGATTATTGGATGGTTTGTTTGTTTTTTAAGGGGTTTTCTGTGTTTTTTGCCCCCTCTTTTTTTTTGGATTTTTTTTTCTTTGGGGGGCGGGGTACTTTTGTTTTGATTTGGGATTTTTAAATAATCATGGTTTTTTTTTGTGTGTTTTTGTTTGTTTTGGGGGGG